CTCCCCGGCGAGTTCTTTTTGTCCAGCCAAAGGGAGGCCCAGATCAACCCCGGCGACTACGCGTCTCGTCTCCGCAGCATCATGGGCAAGCTTCGTGCTACACCCCCGCGTCAGTCAGCGACACGAGCCATTCATCTGAGCACAGACCTCGCATCCTGCACGCACGTGTTTGTTCGACACGACGCGGTGCGACGATCACTTCAGCCCCCGTACGATGGACCGTACAAGGTTTTGCGTAGGGCGGATAAGATGTTGACAATCGACAGGCGCGGTCGTCGGGAGGTCGTGTCAGTCGACCGCTTAAAACCGGCCCACATGGACCCCTTCGGAACCACGGCAGCCCCTCCCGCCGCGAACACACCCCTCGCCAGACCGCCAGCTCCATCTACGGAGATCCCGAACTGACCCCCACTGCCCCAGCCAACTAGCATCGGGCAGCACACGCGCTGTGAACGGCGCACCAAACACCCCCCCCCCCCCCCCCTCCTTTTTCGTCTAAATTTGTGACCTATTTTTTTTTTCTTTCTTTTCCGCAGTGAAATCGCTCGCGCACTCACTAGAGGGGGAGTGTTGTAGTGGCTCAATGCCACACAGCTCGCCGCACGCGAGAACGACCATGCGCACTTCTTCATTGGAGATGATTGATTTTCACTCCCGCTAGGGGAGACAAAAAAAGGAGATCGACGAGGAAGAAGAATAAAGCAGTTGAGATCTGGTACGCAAGCTTTCAGGTCGTTCTTTCTCGGACCTCGCTCGCCACCTCAACAGCATCAATCCCACGGCAGGTTTGATTCTCTCAAAAGCTGAACTAGCCGTCTAGTTCCAAATGGAAACAACAGGCACAGCAACAAGATGCTCACCGATGAAGGTCAGTCTGAATGGTTGTTTTAGGTATGGAGACAAATGTAAATGAACTATATTCCATGGGAGTGATGTCAGAACAGCATAATATTGAGCACCTTAATTGACATTTCATTTAAGTTCTAAAGGTCGTAAGAAAACTGCAGTTTTAATTAAGAGAAAAACAAAGCTTCATTTTTTGATTATGAACACCACTGATTTTTGATACACAGAACTTCGTGATGACAAAAATCGGCATTTGAACAATAAATATGTGTCCTTAAATTCCAGCCAAACTCATTAAAGTTGTATTAGAGTTTCCACCCCCTGCCCCAGCTAATTTAGTTTTAATTTTTCCATACACTGTGTCAAAGCTGAGATAGAAGCTATATAAAGCTGATAACTAAACAAGAGAACGGACCTAAAAAAATAAATGCAGAGAACAGTTCATATAATCTTCTCACAATTAGCGGCGAGATGTTTAGGTGGCGCCCTCCTATGGTTCCCCCGTGTGACGTCATTACCTTGCAAACAACAAGTTCGATGGTGTTTGTAAATAGCATGGTGGAAGCTTGAAATCATTGTACTCTCAAAGGAACACTGCAAACACCGTCAAAATTAAAGTTCTTTCATTCCTCTTATTTCGTCAATGATAAATCCCCTTTCCGACATCATAGTCAGTGTTCGGCCAATCGTGAAAGCCGACCAGAGCAACACTTTCGGTCGCGCACGTCGCCAATACCCAAGTATCCTTGCTAATCTCAAAATAAAAATGAAAGACGTTTACAACTTTCTGTAATGCCAAATTAGAGCGCAGCTCTTGAGGGGGGGGGGGAGAGTATAGAAAGGAGGGTAGGCCCCTACTCCTCCTCCTTCTCTCCCCTCGTGACGTCACTCATGACCCTAGTGAAGTCACTCGTGAAGGTCGTGACCTTGACGAGTGGCCTTCGTGACGTCATTATGAGAAATGTCCCATAATGCAAAGCACAAGTCATGAGTGAGACCCGTGCGTTGCATTATGGGACACTTCCCATAATGCAATGCACGAGTCACGAGTGGGACCTGTGCGTTGCACGGTTACGCCGACGGCAATGGCGACGCCGCTCAAACTGGAAACAAACGTCTAAGAGCTGCGCTCCAAAAAGATTTTAAAAAGTCAGAATATTGTTTATTATACATGCTAGCCCACGTTTTATTCAGAAATTTTGACTGAAAGGTGGAGTTGATAAATCACCGCTCAGTGAGCTTTTTTTTAATATACCCGACAGCTGCGTGTACGACATTACGCTCACAAATTGTTTCCCCTTAGTGCGCGGGCGTGCTGCAGCAAAGCAAAATACGCAAGACGGCGATGCCTACCATGCGATTTTTGCTTGACTGCAGTGCACCAAAGCGCGGCGACAAGCTCACTCAAGGAAACTAACTCACCCGCCAGAGCAGACAATGAACACGAGGAATATTGCAAGACTACTGAGTATTGTCAGTGTTTGATAGAGAGATCAAATCGAGTAGTAAGTTGTGTGAGGCGATCATCGAAGGTCCTTGAAATTCGCAGAAGCCTATTGTAACGATCTGACCGTGTAGCGAGGCCTCGGCTATTATATTTTCTGTTACAATAAAGTCAAATTAAGTTTTGACGCAAATTTGTCATATTCCGGCGAAAAATAGCGAGAGGCAGTAGGGTGAGCACTTTGACGCAGTTAGGCACAAAGGAAGCTGCAATCACGTCACTGCACACGCGACTCTTGCATCTCCAGCATCTCGCTTTGGAAGAGTGTATTGCCCTTAGTATACGGGTGTGCTGCGGCAAAGCAAAATACGCAAAATCTTGGTGACTACTGCACGGTTCTCGCTTCACTGCAATGGCTTATTACAAGACACCCAGGTTGACGTCACACCGTCGTTCTCTCAGCTGCCACTTGTGGCTGCCAACTGCAGAATATTTCCGTTTTTTGCTCTGCTATGACACAGCGGAACTGCAATATTTAAAAAAAAAGTAGTGCTTTCTATTCTTTTTTTTTTAAAGATACACAATGAAACAATTCTGAGCTGCAAATTCAGTCGAAGGTAGAAGTCATTGCACTGCATTTTAAGGGGACACTGGCTAGAGATTTAAGTTTCTAAACTACTCAAGTGATCGGAATAAAATTTGCATGGGAGATTTAGGGGGGGGGGGGGGGGGGACACCACCTTAAAATTGCAATTTTTTAGAAAAGAAAGATAGTTTTCCAATTTTTATGTACTGTGGCTGCACAACTAATAGTGCACACTCCTGAAGATTTTTATTGCAATATCTGAAGTATTTACGGAGAAATAAAACATTTTCGGTAAGCCGACGATGCAAAATCATACGCTTTGGAAATATGAAACTTCCATGTTTCCTGTTTCCAAACTGCTGTAGCACTCCCTAACAATACACCCTAGAATGATGATCAGACTCTCGTTGGAAAGAGCATTTTTTCACAGTTGCAGTATGTTAAACATCTTTGTTTAAAAAACACTATTCGGGCAAGAACACCATAGGAGTCCAGCTTTCACATAGAAGAGGCTACGCATACGGCCGAGAATCGAAAAGCCCACCCTGACTGAACACAAAACTGACTAAAACCAGCATTCATTTATAGAAAGTCACGTGGGCTTGTCTGCTTTGTATTTTGATGATGCCTGCCCCACCCATACTTACTGATGTTGGTTCGTGTAATGCAAGAATACCCAATTCCTCACTCATTTCACAATCAATGTCCACAAGCCAACAACAAAATGACACTCAAAAAAAAGTGTTAAGCTCAGACTCCCTCAGCAAAGCCATGCTGGAGATTGGGTGTAAGCAGAAAGCACCATCTACGCTCTTGGTGCCTTTTAGTTGCTACCACCACCAGTAAAAGCAAATGTAGTGGTGTGGGAACTTCAAACAGGTTTTTATCAGTTTCACTTTTTTCACAGCAACTTTCGTCTTATGAAATCTATCATTTCAGTGAACTGCCAAATTTATTCTTTGCTGTGGATGTTCCTGAACTGAAATTTAATGAGGAATGAGGCTAGATATTTTTTTTTCTATTTAAATGAAGTTTTTATTGCCAAAAAAATAGGGTTTTGATGAGGAGAAAATGCCCCATTATGTAGAATGCTTTTGAAATTGACATTTTGCATAGAAAAAATTCAGACTTTAGGGTAAAAAAAATAGACAGCTGCACCCCCCCCCCCCCCCCCCCCCCCCCCCTTATGTTCTGGTAAAGGCAGAAGCTTAGAAATGCTCAATATTTTGCATCGATTTTATAAGACAGATTTCCTTGCCAAGTGAGGCGACTTGCATCAACAGCTGTATACCTCCCCTTGTAGCATATTGGAAAATTGTCCTAGAAATAAAACATCATTCAGTGCATGTAGGCAACGAGATGAATCAACCCTCCAAATTTCATCAATATTGAGTGACTGGTTTAAAAATCGAGTCATGAGGGTGCTGTCACCCCCTAACATCCGATGTGGGTGTATTGTGCAAACTTTCAGCTCTCTAGGACAATTTTACATACTTGCATAAGAGGATCTGCCACTCTTCGTTAAGAAATCTATGATGTGTAAATGAAGCTATTAAGCACCCTTTTGACTCCTTGAATATAAAGCCGGTATATAGGACTTTGGGCTATCTAGTTTTTCAAACTCAAATGTAAATGTTTCAGAAAGTTATTGCCTCAAAATATGAAATGCATATCTGTCCTATGTCCATTTTTGAAAACATAGTTTTTTCTCAACGAGGACTTCAACTTAGAACAAAATAAAGTAGATAGCCCGATTCCCCAGTAACTTTTAGTACAGAAACATCTTGATTATGGTATCAGAATACTTTTACCTTCAAACAAGATTCCTTCGTATAAAATTTGCAGCAAAAGTGGAACTGAGAAAAATGCATTCAAACATTAAACTCCTTTACTTTGTTACTGCCTCACAATGTGTTGAAAATATTTTATATCAACATCACTATTTGGCATATGGTTATCAAATTTAGTGTTAGGGTTTATGATTAGTTTCTAGAACCAAAAACCTCAAATTTTAAAATTAAATTTTTTTCAAACATTTTTGAATTTATAGGTGGAACCACTTTTGAGTAAGTATGGCATACCCCTTGGTGTAGCATGCACAATCATTCCCAGAAACTGACTTACCACCCACTCATCACTAGAGTCCAGACCGACGCATCCAATCCATTTGCCGTATCGTGGTCGCTGTAATTCCTGCAACGGAATTTCCATATTGGATTACATGAAAACCTACGTGGCACAGACAGATCCTATCATCCAAACTATACTTCCTGGCAAACCAAAATTCTCATTAATGTTTTGGACAAATTGAATGTGCAAGACTATAAAATCATCTGCTGCAAGGAGAACAGAAAGTGGCCGTTCACCAGGTAGTTGTGAAGTTGATTTGAGAAGAGTAAATTTCCATTTCACAAAAACAACTCTTCAGCAACGTCAATGCCAATTGTAAGAAACAACACAGAAGTCATAACAGTGCTTTGCTTGTTCTTTTTTCGTCTGTTACACAGCTGAAAGCACACAAATTGAAGATTTTAAAGGTACCTCATTTTTGAAGGGTTCGATACAGGAAACTTCTTTGGCTGGGGTTCTCAGATCTGAAATGCAAGGAACGGTCTGTCAGGAAAAGAGATGGCATTCAGACATTACTGTAAAACCCTTAATGTTCGCGAGCCCTCAATTTTCGCGAATTTCACGAATCGAAGGATTCGCGAAAATTTCGGTCCTTAAGATTTTCAATGCAGGCGTCATATATAGTGGTCGCGATTATGTCATATGTGACTGATTCGTGAAAAATAGGGGCCGCGAAAATAAAGGGTTTTACAGTATATGTCACATCAGCCTGATTGTTTGTTCAAAAAGGAAGGCCCTACAGGATGAAAGAAAACGGAGCAACAAATGACTGCCAGGAAAAGTGAGCGCACCCCACAGCTTGACCGAGCCATCTTCACTCGCAGAAAAAACTTCGACATTGTTTGCCACTGTAGAGGCGGTCGCGAAATATAGTGGTCGCGATTATGTCATATGTGACTGATTCGTGAAAAATAGGGGCCGCGAAAATAAAGGGTTTTACAGTATATGTCACATCAGCCTGATTGTTTGTTCAAAAAGGAAGGCCCTACAGGATGAAAGAAAACGGAGCAACAAATGACTGCCAGGAAAAGTGAGCGCACCCCACAGCTTGACCGAGCCATCTTCACTCGCAGAAAAAACTTCGACATTGTTTGCCTTCACTGCCAGCGCATGAATGTAGTCCACATGCCGGTCGAACGTAGACTGCAAGGTAAAAGAAAACATAAGCTGTGGCAGTCGGGTTGAGAACAGAACATCAGCTGCTATGCCACAAACTCATGCCATATATTATAGAGAAGCACAAAAGTAAAACAAACAAACTGAGGAACGCAGTATGGACTGCACGTCTTCACGTGCGCAAGCTAGTTCGGTGCTGTATGACAACCGCATAAGGTACAGCTGCAGCAAAAAAAGATTAGCACAAGTGACCGATGACCGGAGCGGCAAAGTCGTGACATGCAGTGCTATTGTTACCGAGCGTGCTGATAGCAAGAGTGCCAGTCACGTTCCATGCCTCAACGCAAAGGTGGCCAGCAGAAAATAGAGGGATAAGACAGCTTTAGAAATGCAAGCTTTTTTAGGATGGGCTGCTTACTGCCGGCCACCCCCCCATTGAGACATGGAACATGACTGGCACTCTTGCTATCAGCGCGCTTGGGAACAATAGCGCCGCGTGTCGCGACTTTGCCGCTCCAGTTGTCGGTCACTTGTGCTAATCTTTTTTTGCTGCAACTGTACTGCCGTACTTGGGTGAAAGTGACCGGATATCGGTGACCAATTTTTCTTTTTTGCGTAACCCGTGTGCACTTTTTCACAATACATATGGAAGACAGAGCTAGCTTGTGTGGCTAACCCGGCAGGAAACGGATATGCTGTGCATGGTTTAAAGAGATAATAAAATAAAGATTGAAATATGCCTTTCACATTCAGCAATAAGTTAAGCATGACCAACAATATCTGTTAATGACAATTGCACGCTTGTACTTTTGAATGGATGGCTATATATTTTTTAATCTAAACGGCTGATTCTGGAAAACACTCAAAGAGCAGCCATCGGAGAGCTCGATGCGTCTCGGGAGGTTCGGTGCCTAGGGTGCATTCATGTCATTCGTCCCAGCACGGGCAAGGCTACAGCAGGAATGACATGGTTATGAGCTTTGCCACTTGGTCATTCGCTGACTTTTTCAGGTTTTCCCTGACAATTTCAGGTGAAGTTCCCTGACCACTGTAGAGGCGGTTAAGTATATAAGACAATTACAACACAAGGCATTGAGCATTGAGAACTGTAAAGGTAATTTTGCACGGGCTTAATCCAACTCGCATATTCCGAAATATTCAAATTCGTCCACCACGGAGAAACGAGCACTTTCTTGCCGCCGACATAATCAGTGAAGTGGCCACTTCTGGAAACACGATGAAAACATAACGCTCAACCACACACGTCAATAACCAAATGGCAGCATGACCGCGTGGCCGCCATATGCACGCTTTCGGCTTGAGGTTTGGATTAAAAATGGGGTCTGTGACTTTCCCATTTGTTTCTAAATCTAGTAGCTCTAACTGAATCTAGTCTAGTGTTGTGCCCTCAATCATATTCAATCTAATCTAAGGCTTGGACTGGATTTGTCGGCTCTTCCCTTTGCATCGGGTAGCATAGTGTACATCGGGTGAGCAGAGCTCTCGTAATGAACGCACCTTCAATTTTCGGCTCCACGAGTTTCAAACTGCGTCCAATTTAGCTAGCCACCAAGTCCATTTTCTTTTGCCGCCAAGTGGTCAGGCCAAGTCAAGCCAAGCCGCTCTCGTAATGGCTGCAAGTGCGCTGTGGCGTATTTGTGGAAGTGATCAACCATGAAACCGAGCAGCACGCACACTTGGCGAAGCTTGGGTCGAGAAATAGCCCAGCCTCGGACATTCTTCGCCCATCGGATGCATTGATGTCAACAAACACGTCGTCGTCTGTAGTCCGCTTTCAGACAGTGAAATCGTGAAAGTGGTTAGGCCTAAGAACGGTCGCGTTGCTCTCCATGCTGAGAGAACTTCGCACAGCGCTTTTCCTTTGGCAAAAGGCACGCCGAAAGCGCGTTAAAAAGGTTCGCAATTGATAAAGCATGGTTACTGGGGTGCGCTCCTGACCAGCCGTGGGTGCGCCTCCATCAGCAGAAACGTGCCACAGTACCTTGTTGTGTTATATTGGTCCCTAATATGACATTTGCACGAAGTGTGTAAATGCAAAAGTTTTACCCTCAAATATGTGTCAATTTTTCGGGAAAGAAGGTGTGTTCATTGTACGAGCAAATGCGGTGCTCTTTTTGTATTGTCTTCCTCTGTGAGAACTAGGCCTCATAGCCTGAATGACTCCTATTCAGGGAGTTCTGCTCGGCCTTCAAGGATTATTTCCTCCAACATAATTCACCGAGAGCCTTCTCGATCTTTGACAAAATTAGCTGATCGGGGTTGGGAAGGTGGTATTGGTTGCAGCAGGAAGCAGAACAAACATGCTCGTCCCCTTGTTTTGGTGCTGTGAAAAATCCAAGCTCTCCTCAAAATGCCCCAAACCAAGAGCAGATTCCGTCCGATCGTCGTAGAGCGACTGTTGGCGACACTGCAGAGTGGATGTGCTGCATCATTTGAGTATTAAAAAAAAAAGTTTTACAATTAGGTGACACCGTGTGGCACATACATTATGTGGCTTGAATGCTGAGACTTGTTGAATTCCATGTTGTGAGCGGGGAATAACCCACGCCTTACGACTATCCAGTGTGGTCAAGTATTTTTAACTCTTTGTTGATTGTTGTGGCCGAGTGTTTGGCGGAGTGAAGAAAACTGCCTAAAATGAAACAAACATTTGAGTTGCATTCATTTTGAAGTGCACAAACTAGCCAAAAATAGGTTAAATTTGTTCAGTTTTGTTTCCAAAGGTGGTACAATGCTTTCTTAGAGGCCTCAAGAAAGTATATTTGCCATATAACAAAAAAAAAGCAGCAATTTAACCGCCAGCAGTGTTTGGAGATGCTCTATGCAGGCTGCCACAGCCAACCGGCAAGAAAAGCCGCAGTCCAGCGAGGTCAGGCAACATTGACGTCTACCCTCAAAATCAGGGACGCCCCTTCGAGGCTGCAGCCGGAAAGGTGTCTATAGCTCGGAAATTTTTGCGTAGCAGCAACGAAAGCTTAAAACAGACACCTACCAGCAGTATTCGTGTTTCAATGTCCCACGCATAAACCTTGTTGTCGCCACATCCCGCCAAGAGAACCCTCTGCTCAGAGTCCTGAAAACGTTGGCCGAGGCCAACGCGAAAGGTTAAAGCACGAAAGGCAGAGAGCATGAAATGGCACCAACCTTTCCAGTGAGGACCAGCGTGTTGACTTCAGGCTGCACAATGTTTTCTCTAGAAAGAAAAGCAAAAAATAAGTTGTCAAACAATCGCGAACCCTATATGATGGCACGATATTACCCTTGAGGTATGCTGAGAGACCAAGACTTCTTGGCCGACTTCTTCTTGAGGCTGCTCCAGTCCCAGGCTAAAATCTCCCCATTGCCGCCACTGAGGAAATAAGTTGGAGGTGCAGGTATCGCATATCATACCTTCCTGCCTATATAAGAAGTCTACCACGAGTTGCGACAATTAGCGAATATTTTTTTGGCCAGTTGACTAATGCATTTATTGCAAATTAATTATCTGTTTTGTTCAAACACCCGAAAGAACACCTGCATATCTTCACCGGTTGGCCGAGGCCAACGGGTGAAGATATGCACGCTGGGCGAAGGTAGGATGGTGTAAGATACTCTTTAGCTGAGGACACACAGCACGGCAAATGCTGCAACATGATCGACCAGTGTAAATCCTAAGGGTGCACGCCCAAGTAGCATATGCCGACGGTATCTCAGCCGGTAAAACGGCGCAACTGAGGAAAGAATAAACAAAACAAAAACAAAAAAGTCTCGCTGCCATGGCACTTCCCGCTAGGCAGGTCTGCTCTGACTTTGAGGAACGCTGGCTTGAACACTGTGCCAGAGATCACTCCGTTTCAATGCGTTCGTAAAACTGATCCTGCCGCCTTCAGAATGAGATGATTGCGACTGTTTTCACCAGCACGTGTTCTCGATTTCCGGGTCTTATGTAAAAAAAAAGGTTAGCACAGACTGTGGCCTTGAACGTTTTGTATAGCGCTGAGCTCAGACAAGCAGACATTGACTAGAAACCAAGGTCAGCTGCTACATGCAAGGTCTATGCGAAATGCTTCTACTAAGAACCACACCGTGGTGCCACTGCCACACGCTTCCTATGGACATCATCAACGCGTGCCTGCAGAAGATGATAATAACGAAAATTACCTGATCAAAAAGTCTTCGGACATAACCAAGGCAAATATGCTGCTGCTGTGAGCTGCGAGGCAACAAAACAAAAGGTTACATAATACAACTGCACAAAAACAAGAGAAAAAGATGCCAAACGCTTGCAGAGGGACGAGCAGAATCCAATCACCCTGGAATTTGTAGATGGGATCTCTGGAGTGGTCCTCTGCTTCCGTCTCTTCGTTAGAAAGGAACTCGGAAGCTCTGTCAGAGACACGAAGGAAGGCGTCAAGTTCGTTGACAAGTAATTGGAAGACGTTGCAAAACCAGGACTTACGCGAAGACGGCAATCTCGCCGTAGTTGCTGGCAGCAACGAGGTACTTCTGGCAAGGCGAGAAGCACTGGGCGTAGATCGTGGTGTAGTATTTCTTCAGGTTATCCATGGCCTTTTCACTCTGAAAACACCGAAACGCCCGTAGGACGTCACACATTGAACGTTGAATCGAGCTAGCTACAGAGGAGTATACGCCCTTGTTGCACCCATATCGAAGCCGTCAATATTTAAATAACGCTGGTGCTGTTTACTGATACAATTTTGCTTTTATTTGAATACTCGCACGAAGCCAAAACGTAGTTCACCGTTCGAACCGAGGTTCGGGACGCGGCATTGATGTCGCTGGCCTGTAATAAGGCGGCGTAATCTTGATTTTTCATTTACCCGATAGGTACAAGGGAAAGTCCACGGGAACGTACTGTTTATAAAGAATACGGAAAACGAGAGGTAATTTACACGCACCGGCATTTTCACGGCACGCTGGACCGGCTGTCTTCAAGATTTCAATTCCGAGGCAGCTCGAGGACGTAGGACGCTGGAATACGATTTCACGCGGAATGATGATGATGATGATGTTTGTGTTGTTTTGCTGCCCTGTCCTCTGGTGGCTAGAGGGAGAAGTTACCTTCGCGCAAGCGCACAAGCGCAAGACCACAGTGGAATCGGTGGAATCATAACCAGTGGTCCCACTCAAGGCCACTTCCGGTAATCGCGCATACACAGCGCTCCTCAAGCCGGATGGCGACAACTGAAGTTGTCAAACAAAAACAAACAAAAAAACAGCGTCAAAAAGAATCGCAATTGACTAAATTGAGTGCGTTAATGTTATTATTTTTAGAAAACATAATAAGCTAGGTAATAATGATAAACCAACATGGAAAGAAAAAATCGAGCAGTTACCGTTAGCTTCAAAAAAGTTCATTGCCCTAACCGAAGCCATGTCGCCGGTCGCGTTGTCGGCGTTGTCGGTGTTGCTGTTCTGCGAATTTCTCTTTCCTAGTACATTTCCCTTTCGGTTGGATCCTCGCTTGTCGTTTTAGTGTCACGTGAGTTACCGAATCGCGCTATGAATGTGTTCTAAATGGGCCTGCTCAGGCAAGAAGCCAAAAAGCCGGGGACTCACTTCGCCGTTCGAGATTCCGGGATTCCGCTTCAAGTTCGTTGCTGGTGAGTGCAAACATTTTAAAGTGCTCGTGCTGTCCTTCGCGTCAGGCCATGGCACGATCGTCTTTTCTCCAACGCAGTGCATGTGACTCGGTTAATTTCTTAGTCGTATGTACGTCGGACGTGACTTGTAAAACGGTCGAACGTAATGAATTGCTTGTTCACGCGCAACCTCCACGTATCGAAACTTTCACACCATTTTACTGGAAAATGTAAATATAGTAGCAAATGACGCGGATCAGCACCGAACCTTGGATTTGCTAATCTGTAAAATCATAAAAGTGAAGTTGGCATCATAGCATAAAATGTAAAAAAAAAAAAAAAAAAAAAAAAACAGGCAACATTATAAAAAGTGAATTTACCACTTGTTATATATTTGCATTTGGCTAAGCAAGTTGACAGGGTACATTGAACATAATTCTGAATTAACTAGTCAGATGGATGTCCCTTGAAGGGAATTAACGGGAAGGCAACTCTAAGAAGTGTTGCTCAAACATGCCAATTTCCTGAACTCACACCTGTCTTCTCTCTCTCGTCAGGATACCCTGTGGGTATGGCAGCATCTGGCACCTGTCGTCCAGCATGCGTCGAGACCCCTCCTCCCCCCGTCAAGCTCCAGACATTATTTATCTCCGCTTGGCACGCCATGCAGTAAGACCCACAGTACTTATCTAATTTAGAAGTATAAGCAGGGACAGATCCAAGGGGGAGATCCAAAAGGAAGCGACGCCCCCCCCCCCCCCCCCACAAACAAAGTCGACCCCCCCCCCTCCCCCCATCTCGGAGGGCAGTTTGACATGGCTGGACCCCCCGGTGCACACAAAAGAAGGGGAGAATAGCATCCTTACAAACTTTCTGCCCCCCCCCCCCCTCCCCAAACGGAGTTCTGGATCTGCCCCTGAGTATAAGGTGTGTCTCGCTTTGTCCATTCACTGTATACTGTTACTTTCTTGTTCCAGTACGATGGTTCCTCGGAGAATCGCAGAGAATACCACGAGGGCGACAAACGTGTGGAGGCAAGCTGCAAGGGCCGGACACCAGAGACAAGGACCATCAGTAACCAGGGGGATGAAGTGAGGAAACTCAAGAGGCAGCTCATCATCTGGGCCACGAGAAGAAAATCGGAGACCGTACGCTGGGAAATTTGTCGACCCTCATCCTTGGGTAGCATGAGCATTTTCTGGTCATATTCGTACGTGAGGTGAACTGTTACTGGAACTAGGTTGACTCATCCTTCTGCAGCTTACAGGGCATTACCAAAGCTACGGCACCAACGAGACAATTGGAACATTTGGCTGAGGGACGGGACAACATATTGTGGGGGTATACACCTCCTACGGAGAGCTCTCACAAAACTTGCTTCGTTGCTCTGATTAGCTCCAAAGGGCGGCAGTGCTTTTCTTTGTAAAATTAGGCTGAAACAGATTATAGCTGTAATAGGGCCACCGAAATTGACATTGCGGCATAACATTCCTCATGAGGAATGTTATGAATGTCGCAGCCACAAGTGGTCACTTGACAATAATCTGCAACTTGTCATATAACAAACTGTGTAAATGGTTGGGTAAGTGCAGTAAAGGTAGTTCTGCATATCTGGGAAAAAACAGTGGCTAGGAGGGCTCTAGCTCTTACTAAAGTGGCGAAGCGGGCGAGTTGGTTCATGATATAAAATTTAAAAGCGCTAAATGTTCAGTTGGGAGCAAGCGCTCGTCCTGTTCGCCTTCCTTTTTGTCCTCGTCTTCGTTAGCACTTTTAAATTTTATCTCTAGCTCTTCCTCATCACGATCTGTCTTAGGGATCAGCACGACAACCAGAGCTGGTTGTCGTGCCAGTAGACCTCGTTCTGAAGTCATTGGAAGAAAACAATAACCGGTTGCTCCCATCATGTTGTGTTAGGCAGTGGTCAAGAACAAGATTTTTTCTCTTGAGCTTGGGCAAAGTGTTCTTCAATTAGTTTTCTCAAAGCCCCTTTGACACGCAATGGCACACATGACCTAGCTCAGTCGACACCCTACCTGTTAGTAGTGTTTCCAGTTTGTGCTAAATCACGAAAAGAGCCCTTGAAGAATAAGGTAGTGTGAAAAAGTAAATTTTTAATTCCTCATGCCGGAGATTCCCATCTGTTGGAGTTTGGATAGAAACAAGCTGTGGTCTGCGCTGTTAAAAGCCTTTCTGAAGTCTAACTGGACGATCTCGCACGGAGTTCGGTTGTCGAGGCTGGTGCTGAGTGCATAAGTGAAAGCTGCAAGGGCCGATTCGCAGCTCCTGCCGGGCGGAAACCATATTGGCGGGGGCTCCATTGTTTGGTTTAGCCATCGCAAGCCTTCGGACGGAGAACGTCGTAGCAGTTGTCTGTGTCGCGAACTCAAGCCGAGTTTAGATAAAGTTATATGTGCCGGAACTAGTCCTGGGTACTGTCTCTCCTCAACGTCGGGGCCCGACGTTGAGGAGAGACAGTACCCAGGACTAGTTCGCAACACAGACAACTGCTACAACGTTCTCCGTCCGAAGGCTTGCGATGGCTAAACCCCCCTTTTTTTGCTGTCCCTCTTCTTTGTCCTATTTTCTTCCCCTGGCCGCGAGGCGAGGATTCCTTGTAATCTGGCGCGAACGCCACGGTGGGACACACACACACACACACACGTGCCCGCACGCACACCACCGAATGAGTCGGTAATACACTCCGTCACAAGTGGATTTTAGACTTGAGGGGGCACCGTGTCCCTTTTTGAGAGGCGTTACTGACTCAACTTTCCAGGATTTAGGAACAGAGCTGTGGGAGAGAAAATCGTTGACGAGGCGAGTGAGGACGGGGGAGATACAGCCAGCACAGGATTTAAGCAATGCAGGGTGGAGGCTTTCTGGTCCAGGGCGTTGAGAGGAGTTGACACAGGCGACAGCTTCGTAGGTTTCACTTTGAAGAATGACTATGGAAGAGAGTGTGATTGCTGGTGTGGCCTTGATTGGCTGAGTTGTGGGTTGGGTGGGACAAAGGTTAGGTGCGGTAGGGTCAAGTAATGCTACAGCCCGAGAAAAGTGGTAAGAGAAGAGCTCTGCTATGTCAAGATTAGAATAGGGCCTGCCGTGATGTGTGAAGATCGGCGCATGGAACATTTTTTTTTTTTTATAGTGAAAACATGCCCAAGAGTTTGGGCTGGCACGTTGCTTTTGCTCTTGGTTGGTAGGTAATCGTTATGGGAGATATGAATGAGATGCTTGACTTCGGTACGTGCCTGGTGGGCTTGGTAAAGATGAGTGGGATTTAGAGGCACTTCTTGAATAGTCAGTGTTTACGTCTGATTAAGACTGCAATCTCCTTTGTCATCCATGGAAGGCTGCCGTGCCTCCTGTTGATCCTTAGGGTGAACACATTTGCGCTGAATTGCTGATATGTTGAGTGAGAGGTCGTCGGCCTCGTCAGCCGATGGGTGATCAAACACGATGAACCAGGGAGCGAGGTGGATGAGCTGATTGAGATGAGGGAAATCGTTTTTTTTAGAACTGCTGGAACTTCTTGGCATGATGACCTCGCTTAGGGCAATGGATATTGGTGAGGAGAGCACTGCGATCACTGCCTGGTAGGCTGGATTTCACTGCAGCGGTAGGATAAGGTGGGATTATTGGTGCAGACGAGGTCGAGGAATGTAGCGTTGCTGTTTTGAGAAATGTAGAATGAGGCGTCATGAAGCTGGGTGAGGCCAGCAGTTTCCAATACGTCTTACAGCATGTCATCAAGTGGATCAGATGAACAGTGCAGAGAACTTGCTGGGGTCGACGCGCTGTAGGCTCTTTTGGAGGAGGGCGTACGATTGTTCACGGAGGGAGGGTGGGCAGTAGGTAGACACCAAAAGAAGCTTTCCATGTTTGCAAAATACCTCGACAAAGATGGCTTCTAGACCCGAAGGGGTGAGGTGGTCGAGACGTTGGCAGGGCAGGTGTTATGGCATGGCGAGGACGGACTCCTTCGCCCCAAGGAGGGACAGTTTTGCTGGAATAAAGAGAATTGTGCGAGATTGATCAATTCCCCATTAATTGCCCACCAAAGACAGGCGTCCAGCCATGTCTCGCACACAGCGAATATTGTATTCGGGAAAGATTACTTCAGCGCTTTAAAGTCAGGAAGGTTGTTTTTTAGAAAGCAAATGTTGGAAAACCAAACGGGATTGGAGTCTGTAGACTCCGATTGCGCACTTTTCACACGACAACTATGCCAAATGCGAAGTTGTCATGCGAACGGTGAATGCTGCCGATGTCGCTCGCCGGAGGCGGGTCGGAGAACTACTTGGTAGAGTTGGCGATGATGGTGGGGTACACAGGGGCTCTGTGCTGCTTAGGGGATGAAAAGAGGTCATCGGCCAGGGGTGGGAGCTGGCACGCCGCACAGAGCCACTCGGTTGATAATGAGG